CGAGCCACTCCAAAATCCTGGTTCAAAGATCTGAAATTCAAACCTACAAATCAAAATTTTAAAAAATTGATTAGTTATAGAAAAAAAAAAGTAGATGAAAGTCCTGATTCAACACAAACTACTCCTTCTCCAGGATGAAATAATGAATCCACATGCTCCACAACCAAAAAATGAACAACGGCAACATCAAAATGGACAGACTAGTATGAGTTGCCCACCATAATAAATTACACCGCGATCACAAAAATTTATACCTGGAGGAAGAGATTGCTTCAACTTGTTGGCCTCTCGGATCAAACACACAAAGTGTGTAAAAGGTACTTGGAGCACCGAACCTTGAACTTAACAGCATCCTTGGTCCTCTTGATTTTGACATTGCGGGCATCCTTCCTTCTTGCGGTTAGAAGGAAATCCTTAATCTCATGGATCTGCTTCGGCTGTTGGTGCACACACATAGTATAAACATGATAGATCAATATACATTCTGAAATTTACATCTAAATAAGGCATGTATGTTCACATGTTTCAACATCTATTATCCATTACTCGAACAGAATTATAGCAGATCCAGATTCTTAGCGACTACGGACTCGTTTGGATGTGCTTTTAAATTGACTGAAAGCGCTTTTACAGAGAATGTTTTTTGGTTCCAAAAGCACTTAAAGTGCTTTATGCAAGAAGCACCAGTTACGTGCACTTTAAATGTTTTTCCAGAATTTACTTGCATTTTTACTAAGGATTAGTTCCAAAAACATTTTCACCAAAAGCGCTTTCAGTCATTTTAAAAACACATACAAATGAGCAAAATTACTTTTTAACATTGTTATAAAATACTGGTAGAAGGATACAAGAACAATGGGTGAAACACCAACAAAGAGTATTATACAAAACACTGTCGGACGCTTCATATGAAAATACCAACCGTGTTTCATTTACCACAAAATCGATAGTAAAATGAAAGTCACGCTATTCTGCGGCCTCGAAATATTACCCTCTGGTTCACATTTTAGAATAAAATTAGTAACGGAATTTTAGAACCAGACTACCAGAGATTAAGAAACAATCACAAAACTATGTACAACAGTTTACAACAAACCAGAAGCATTGAGACAAATCTTAAAAATACAAAATCCAATAAACCAATAACCGAAAATCTTCAAAACTAAAACAAAGTATACTGTAATGATATGTTAACATCTACAGTGCAAACCTGCATCAAATTTGTATCCATCTAAATCGAGGATAAAGAAGAGATGAACATACTTCTTCTTTTCCTATAATTTATATGATATTAGATACACACCACGGTGTATTAGTAGATTCGGTATCAAATATGCATTTCCTTCCACTGCCAATTTCAATATATACAAGCATGGTTTCTGGAGTGCTCCGCTTATCAAATTTGTACATGAAAATTTAGCCAACAAAACCACAAGTTCCAGTGAAGAATGTGCGCACAAAGTAAGGGTGAAAACAAACGTACCATTTTGCTGGTTGCTTGCCGGAGGCTGCGAGTTGTCTCTGAAAGTCGGAGTTGGAGGTCGAGGCAAGGAGGCTATATACGAGATGAAACCCTAATTTTAAAACTATTTTTTATGCCGGTTTTGTCCTTAGGGCTTTTTTTGCGATGTCCAAAGAGGTTAATGGGTATAGGGTTCTGAATCATTTTTAGCCCATTTCGCATTTTCTACTTCTGAGCCCGTTTGATATTCTCTTGATTTTTTTTTTTGAACAAAAGTTGGAATTTTTTATTTCATTTGGATATAGGCAAGGTATAAAATATCGATTATATCGGAAATATAGGTAATCCAAAAACACAGAAATATCGATGGAAATATCGGGATATTATCGATATCGATAAAAATTGAATAAAAACCACGGAAATTGTAAGAAAAACTTGGAAATTTTTATTGAAACTTTGCATGATGTTTATTTAGTTAATTATCTATTAGTTTATCACAAAAAATTGGAAGGAAATGCATTGCATGATGGATTTAACTGATTTAAGTTGATTATATAGCGAGCTGACAAACATTGTGAGTGTAGAAAGTATGTAGTAATTAATGAAAGAAGTTTAAACACACCATAATCATTTATATATAATGAATTAGTACAATATTTTATACTTTATACATTGCATGATAAGATACATGAGTGACTTAGTACCACATAGAGTTCCTATGATGTAACTGAAAAAAAATTAAACAAATTTTAATATGATGTAATTATTTGAACTTGTTGAGGGCAATATAAGTGAGGTAATTTGGGGCCAGAGACTTGCTCAAAATCCCTAAATTGCCAATTGAAACTTGAAAGAACGAGAGGCTCTCCATTTTCCTCTGTGCAGGTAAATCCATGGCGTCAACGAGTCAACGAACCCTCATTCTCCTCATCGCTTTCCTCACCCTCTCCCTCTTCGCCATCTCCGCCATCGCATCAAGGCCCTGCAAAACCCTATTCGTTTCCTCCTACTCCTTCTCCATCCGCCGTCTCCCCTCATTCTCTTCCCCCTCTGGCTTCGTCACCGTCGTCACCGAAATCAGCCAGCTCCGCCCCGTCCACATTCACCCTACCCGCGCGGGAGGGTGAGACTGGAGCTTGAGGTTGCCGTCCTCGCCACGAACGATCCAGGGGATGATGAGCATGCCAGGGAGGGCATCCGGGTCGAGCTCGGCGGAGTCAGGTTTGGGCTTGGGCTTTGATGGCGCGAATGTGAAGTTGAACTCCTGAGAAGATGAGGAAGTGGCGAGGGAGTAGGTGAGGCGGGGGAGTGTGCGAATGGGGATGAGAGAGAGGGAGGGTTTGGAGAGGAGGGAAGAAGAGAGAGAAGCTAGCGCTGCTACTGCTCCTGCCACCGACGCCATTTTTGGTTGCCGGGTTTTGTTGGTTGAGGTTTTTTTTTGCAGTGATATTATCGATATTATTGATAATATCGCGATATTTTGACGAAAACTAATTGGATAACCATTAAAATATCGCCGTTATTATCGGCATTTAAGACCTTGGTCACTGCACCACCCATACCCAAGCCCGTGACCTGTAGTCACTATGGGGCTGCTTTCAGGCAACCAGCCTTCGCTGGGATCCCCGGGACAACCCACAGGCCAGCTTGCGCTAGACCTGTCCGTGCACTCCCTTGTGGCCCAAAACATGACCCAGCTGCGGCTAGGGTCTCCCATTCCTCACCCGTGGCCTGCAGCCACCACTAAAGGAACATTTGGGCCTCGCCTTATGCTTAAGGCACCCAACCCGTGCCTTTTAACCCCCGGCATTAAGCCCAATTATTTTTGGGGCTCTATTTTCGATCCAATAATATTACTTTAATATTATTTTGCTTCTACGATCGACCACGAATGGTCCCGATCTATTGAATTAATTAAAAGTGACCTGTAGTCCATTACTCTGATAATGAATCCAAAATTATTGACATGAAGATCACTTTTGGACATTAACGATTCAATAATTTATTTCTCTTCTTTGAACCGTCACATACTTTCGTAGTAACGAAGCTCTCACACTTGAGTTCCCGAAGACAACTCAAATCCACTACACTAAGTTAGTATATTGCATTCTGAGTTTCTTGCAGGAACCTCTCTTTTATGAACTAAATGTTCATAAACTAAATTGAACCTGCAGTTTCAAATTTAGTGCCTTTGAAACTAGAAGATTTCATAAAACAATACACCCATGCAAAACCTGACGTTTTTCATGAAAACCATGTCTTAGAACTCGAATGTTCTAACTTTGATGCTTATGGATGATTCATTCCCATAGCACCAATCACAATCTTGTTCCCTCAAATTCAGTGGATTGTCGAACCGTCACAAGTTTGATTTTCCTGATTTGGACGTTTTCTAATATAAACCACTTTAGGTGGGGCACAAGACGTGAATCTCCACTTAACTATCAAGAAGCTGAGAAACCATTGATGCCAACAATGGCAAGGAAGAGCTGAATAAGCCTCCGCCATAATCTTCATTCGAAGACTTATGCTCAAAGCATTACAAATGGAAATACTTCCCGAACGAGGATTCCATGGCTTTTTGGCTCGCTTTTATAGACCGTCTAATCATGAAAGAAATTGCCTAAAGCAAACCATGATTATGTCCATGAATGAGTACAATTCTGAATTTTATAAATCCGATCGAATCTTGACTGGAGAATACTTTTCTTGTCATTCCATGTTTCTAACTCGCTCTTGAAGCAGCAATGTAGAAAGTGGAAATTTACCAAATTCTCGGGTCTGATTACTACCACAAACGTGAGAGAAAGGTATGGACCAGTTCGCTGGAGTCTACGAATGCTCGACCAAGTTTGGTCAAAACCTAACGAAATGGTGATGCACTGCTTCGGCAGGGATACACTGAATGGCATATTCTTTCACAATACAATTTCGAGTTTGTGTTCACAAACATATAGTATAATCAGGGCCTGCCAAGGTGTGGCATCATGCCCGAAGCATGATCCTTGGTACATAAGACCTAAAACTTCAAGAATAAGGGATAATATTCTCGAACCTCAACCTTGCAAGAATCTACTCCCGTCTTGATGGAATAGATCATTGGTTATGCACCTGTTCGTGCCTCTACCAATGTTGTTGAGGAGTACCATTCTAGTAGTCAATATGTGAGATTGATTTTGCTCCACTGAACATCGTTGGCAGAGCAAAATTTCGACATGGATGGCCTTATTGGCCGAATCCCCTTAGTAAATTTACTTTGTGAACATTTTTCCATGTTCTTGGATTCAAGTTTGGTGTACGTTTTACTTATGGATAATCTTATTGATATTGTCCTCGAATATGAGTTAATTGAATCATGTTTCGTAATACATGTGACCGATTTAATTAAACACATGATTAGGTAGGAATGTGGGAAAGTTAGTTGTCTGGATGAATGCGTACTACGCACACTAACTTTACACCTAAATCACATTTCTAACAACGACTTCAGGTCTATCCAACCTGATAAAGAGCATTGGCACGCTTCTCGTTGTATGAATGATAATGAATTATCATTTAAAGGACCTTAAATTCTTCCTGACGTTGAGTTTTTAAGGATATTCGAGATGACAATGATCATAAATGAAACCATTGAAGAAAATAGAGTGAAATATCTTTGCACCACCTCCAAAAATGAGCCTGAAGCTTTGATTTGGGCCAATGGGTTGTCTCCCAACTGGGAATACACCACATGTGGCCGGCCTATAGTCTGGTGATTGAGCAGTTTACTTGCTTTGGCACGACCTTTTGGGACACTGAGGTCGACAATGATGCTACACGCATCTCCTTATCTGAAGTAAGGATTTTGTGCCTACAAGCACATTTTGCCAATCCTGCTCATTAGGGAAATTGATTTTCTATATCATTTCTTGCAAAGATACGACACGACTCCATTTTCGCAGTGGATTTAAGGGAATATATGTTAACTAATCCAACCAAAATGCGGACCATATAAATATTTATGATTTTGGTTGATGAATCGACAAACTGGTCACATGTTTGTCCACACACATTACTGCTAAACCTCTTGGCCGATTAAGGGTTCACCACCCTACTTATCCCTTAAGGTCTGGAAGATTGGATAATGCCAGAGAGTTTACATCGATGGTTTTTCGATAAAGTATTGCATGTATTTTGGGTTTCTAATTGAACATCGAATTCCCATGTTCACCCTAAATAGCCTCGCCTAGTGATCATAAAGCGCAATTTAAATGATCGCCTAAATTTTGGTAAAAATACCAAGTTTTCAGTTTTTGCCTAGGGCTATGCAATCCTTGTACGTAGTTATGTTGGTCCGCCTTGAGGCCTATTGCCACCCAACCTATATGACGTTATAGTTGGTTACTGGGTACGAACCTGACGACTTTCGTATTTATGCATTTGGGTGCGCATTCCATGTCTTAAGTTGCGTCGCCGCAACGTACCACCATGGGTCCTCAAAGAAGGATGTGTATCTTTTGTCGATCATGTTTCTCCTTCACATTAGCTCTCTTCGAGCCCTTGCACACGATCTCTTTACCGCTTATTTGCAGGTTGTCACTTTAATGAGACAATCTTCCCGCCGTTAGGGGGAGATAAGAACGTCAACGTTCCTGTAGAACGACGCGAATTTGCATGGACGTTGCCCACTATGTCTCATCTCGATCCCCATACCGCACAAGTGTGATAAGCAAGTGCGATGAATTCTAGATTTCAGGATGTTGCTCCAGACGCATTCCTTTGATCTAGATAAAATGACGAGATCATATACCAGCTGCAAACATGCCTGCAAGGATAGACGTCGAGTCAACATCCCTGAAGGGTGTGCCGCCCATGTTGGACGGTTTGGACGCCCTTATTGGACGGTCCGGTACACCGGTAGATAGCCAATCAATATGTCTTGGCCTGGAGCACGACATATCATTCGGTTTGTAGGATTCACTTCCCTGGAAGAGGAAGACACGGCGCAACAATGAATCTAAACTCAATCACTGTCTCAAATCATTTCCATCTCATGAGATTAATCCGGATTACTCTCGAGACTTGAAGTTCTTGGTCCAGTATACTAGTTTGGATAAGAAAATGGAATTGAAATGAGATTATCATCGATGATGTTTTCACTTATATGGTAGCTACCGATATAAATGAAAAGCGACGATA